GCCCATTTATTACTTATAAATATCCCTAAAGACTCGAAAATATCATTGTTTTTTAGTCATATATTGATGAGGTTGGTAAATAAGAAAAAACACCTCAATATTTATACAAAAACACTTTAAAAGTTCAGATGGAAGACAAAACTCATAATCTATCTACTTGTACACCTGAAGGTATGTTGAATCCACCCATATGTAAAGATGAGTATGAGCGTTAAGGTAACTCTCAAGGTGTGTTGAATCATTCAACTACTTTCTGGCAACCCCAGGTTCCTTACAGGACTTCTGGTCTAAAGGCAGTAAGAAAGGAGTAAAGACACTCATCATCCTCAGTCAAGTCAACAGTGCCAGCTAGACTCTAAGTCACCAACACAATCAGCAATTACTTAGTAAAGAAGTTTGTTTGCTATAACTGTTTTTTAACTAATCATAGATTAAGATTAATTAGTTACATTAGTTGGTAACTAATCTTTATTAACTTTTGTGTATAAATACCCCAATGTAATCAGTTTTTAATCAATGAGAAATACTTTTCTAATAAGGAGTATCAGAATGGCATGGAAGGAATGGACATCAATGAGCCACAACCTAACCAGTAGCCTAACCAATAGTTGGAACTGAAGATGAATAAGGACTCAAAGGGTGCGTTTGTTTGCACTCACTAGCATTCACTAGATTGAACTGGACTAAGTGGTAGTCTAGTCCTGTGTTTGATACAAACCAGGACAAGATTTAATGAGACTGGTCCCGACTAAACGGGACTAAGCACTTCACTAAAGGGTCTTAGCGAAACCCCCAAATTGGCCGGACTGCTAAGCCAACTCATCCTTGCTTCGTCCCTCCTCACTTCGCCCCTCCCATCTACTTGTCCCTCGCAAGATTCGAAACCCAGGTCCCATATATAAACTATGCCCCGCTTCGCCCCTTTCATCTACCATTTCCAAATCCAGATCCTACAAAATTCGAAGCAAAATAGGCAAAAAATTTTGCAATATTTCCACTTTCAAAACCAGATCAAAATCCAAAATTCTAAACAAGAAAGCCATTTTTTTTTTTTTAACAAAAATTGTTGTGCATCTGAAACGCACAACAGTCACTCTAATCACACTGCACCTAGTCCAAACTCCCTGATCGCAGACCTTCGCTATTGATGCTGGAGAAGCAGACCCATGAATACCCAGATGACTTAGACTCTAATTTGGGTTCTGATTCGCCAATTGTGTCCTAGAAAAATTAGGAAGAAAAAAGGAAGATGAATGGAGAGAAATACGAAGAAAAAGATGGAGATGAAGAGGGAGATGGACGAATAAAAATTTGGAAGAAACAGAGGGAGAGGTACAGAGCAAAATAAGGAAGAAAATGGGGGATTAGCGGAAAAGAATTGGGAATAGAGATGGGAGGTTTCTAAATATTACTAAATATGTATTAAATAATATAAAATATTAATAAATATGAATTAAATAATATAATATTAGAATTTGTTATTATCTAGCTTTCTAGTTCGACACTGTACCAAACGTTTCACTAAGTTAGTCCAGCTTAATCTAGTCTAAGCCAGTCCAGGTTAGTCCCTAAAGCTAGTTCAGTCCGAAATAATCCGGTACAACAAATGCACTCAAAGGATCTTAGTAGTACTCAAACGCCACCTCGCATTGTACGGGAAACCCAACTTCGGGTGCATGTTCAGTTACTAGGCAATTTCGGCGCCCATCTTCTTCATGTTATGCATATGGTGCCGCCGAAGTTGGCACCTGGATATACCCAATGTTTAAATTTTTTCGATGCGATCGATATTTTCATAGGAATATCCAAAAAATCAGAGAAAGATTTGAAAATGGGGGGTGAAGTCTAAACTTCATCTCATATTGAATAAAACTCTTAAGTTTAGGTTAAAATCGACAAATATTGTCAATATTTCTAAGACATCTGTTAAATATCGGAAAAACTTTTATATTTCATCCAAACAAATATTTGACAATCCCTAAGTTTCATTTTATAATCCCTAAAATTTCATTTTAAATGTTCATAGTTTCCATTGAAAGCAACCGATATCGATATTTGCTATATCTATCGATATTTCCACAAATTTACATATCGATATTTCTACTGATACCAATATTTTAAAGACTGATTATACCAAGCTTAGAAGTAGTGGTGGAAGTGAAAATGCCAGACAGAGTGGGGATGTCTAGTGGCGTGATTGTTGTATATAGCCTTGAACCTTAAACGTTACATCGAGTCACGGGTGTAGCTTCCTTCTCTTCTTCTTCTTTTTTTTTTTTTTTTATTTATTTATTTTTTTTATGTCAAAGTAGCTTCATTATCTTGATCGACGCAATTCTTCTGTACTTGGGTGAGAAATACATACACTAGTTAGTTGTTTTGGGGTATAAAAGAGGTTAAATATTTGTTAATAGTTGTAGACTTTTAGTGTTGTTGTACTAAGTCATGAATTGTGTGTAATTTACGATCTGCATCCGCTTTGTAACATGATTTTTGTGTTTGATTTTTTATTTTTAATTTTTTTAATAAAAAGGTAAATATATTACCATTTTTTTTTTGAACGCTTTTAAAATGATAATGTTCTTCAATTAGTAACTACCTTGTCGCAGGGCTATCAAAACCAAGCAAATGAGATGGGAGAATTGAAGAAACAAATGGGGCAAATGGCAGAATTCATGGGCCAATTCAGAGAGGAAGGTAAATTGCTAGGTAAATATATTACCATAAGAAGCAAACAAACTTACAAACTATACAACCAAAGGTCCAAGGACAAAAGTACATAGACATGCAAAATGAACCAGCCAAGCAAACCAAAGCAAAGCCCAACCAACAGTGTGGGCACAAACCAGAAAAAACTAGAGAAAATCGAGAATTCAGTAGCAGCCACTGCTGCAACAGTATTTCAAGATTCACCCAATTCCACGCCTCCAACCTCACGCCGACTTGTCGATCATAACATCTAACTCCAAGCACCATCTGGTATGCATCCTCAATTGAAGAAATCAAGCAACCAGAAGAATTTCAGCTACCAGAAGAAAGAAGCTCGTGAAAATCCACGAGTAACATTGTCAAAAAAGGCAAACATAGATAAGGTGGTGATGTTAGGAACACCCGAGCCTGTGCAAGCACCAAAGCTATACACACCATCTCAATAAAGCATGACTGCATATTGGAGTATGGATGAACAAGGATGAGGGACGCTAGTGGGATAAGAAGAAAAGGGCAAAACGAAATAGAGAGTAAGGGAAAACGCAGTCGAAGGTAGAAAGATGAGACAACGAAAGGAAGGGGAGAACGGCTAACCAACCCCAATCGAAGTTAGGGTCGGCGCCACCAGGAGAGAAAGTCTCTCACAAGGAGAGAGAGAGAGAGAGAGAGAGAGAGAGAGAGAGAGAGAGAGAGAGAGTCTATTTCCTTTTATTTTTGTGTTAGATTTCAGTCCCAAAAAATCCACAGCTTTCCTTAACAGCCTTATATCCTTTACTTGCAAAACTGAAGCTTCTATATGAGGGTTGGAATTGACATTGCCAACCATAATTCTGATTCAACCAATGAGCAAGTAGAAACTTGAATTGTGTAGACTCTCTTTGATTTGCTCAGGATAAATTTGCATAATACAACCCTAGAAGGTCACATGTTATGCACGTGTTGGAAGTTAAAATGCGGTAAAATGTAAGACATGGAGAATGAGTGAATTGGCCCAAATTGAAAATTAAGGGTAATAGTAGAAACAAATAAAAAAGTAAGGGCTCGTTTAGAAGTGTTTTTGAAATGACTGACAAAACTTTTAGAGGAAAATATTTTTGGGTTTCAAAAGCACTTGAAGTGCTTCCTACAAGAAATATCAGTTACGTGCTTCTTCCAAAAAATAATTTAAGTACTTTTCTAGGATTCACTAGCGTTTTAACTAAGAATTAATTTCAACAATATTTTTACCAAAAATGCTTTCAACCATTCTAAAAATACATCCATACAAGCCCGAAGATCTTATGCAATAATCATAAGTCTATGATATCCATGAACTATTATTGAGAGTAAAGCCTAATTTGAAATATTTTCTTCCATATGAGTAGATTGGTTGAACATGAAAATTGAAAGTAAAATGGAAACTTATCATAAAACAGATTTTCTGTCATTACCATATTTTCCATCATCCACATCTAGTAAATATATGTTTTTAAACGATAAGATAATGTACCATGAATCTATCTAAGTCACAAAAAAATGACTCTCTAACTCGGGGCTAAGCATTAGATTTTCTTATTACGGTTGTCCAAAAATAATGATACATAATAGACAAAATCTATTATCAAATTTTTAATTTATGTCGTTATCATACTCATATCCATATCAATTGTGTGATATGATTCATATTTTGCTCATATTACTACGACTCATGTCACACTTTTATCAACTGAAAATACAAAATCATATTACACGACATTAAATTTAAAAAGCTCAAACTCAAAGATTATGTCACCTTGTTAACCACAAAATATGGTTTTTTACTACGACATTAAAACTGCTAAAAAAGCATGTCGTAGATAAATAGATAGAAACAAAACAAACAAAAGCAGCGTGGAAATTACGACACGAAACGCAAATCGTTCGTCACGAAGCATTGTGGCAATCCCGTAATTTGATCAGATGACATAGGCATTTCTGTAACCTCCCCGATATTTCCCTCAGCACTGACGTCTGTTTCATGCGGAGCCGAAATCCTCTCTATCTCAATCTCTCTCCCCTCTGTCTCCCCCATACAAACAAACACAACAAACTACAATCTCCACCTTCCATTTGTACACGTCACCGATCCGCGTCTTCGTGATCGAACGGCCCACTTATTTTTCGATACGGTAGGTTCAGCCCCACGAACCCTAGCCACGGAGACCGAAGACTAACGAGCCCAATCAAGAGGTTTATCCCGAGTCACCCACCGCCCAATACGAATAGGAGAGAGAAAGTAGAGAGAGAGAGTGGAATTTCATTTTTGGTCCTTTTTTCTGTTGTTTTTTTTTTATCCTGAAGCATCTCCTACTTGCAGAAGAGTCCGTACATCTCAAAAATTAGGGTTTTAAGGCGGTTCAGAGAGGGAGAAAACGATTAGGATTCGTGTCGTTTTGATCTTCGAATCTGTGATTTGGGGATAAATCTAGGGTTACTGTTTTAGCTCCCATTTTTGTTCTTCCCGGGGATTGAAAAATCGGAGCTCCGTTGATTTTTCACAAAATATATATAAGAAAAGAAAAATTAAGGGTAAAATTTGTATATTTGTTCTTTGTATGAGATAAATTAGGGTTTCGAATTGATGGACGAGATCTGGGAGCGAGCCGTTGAGACAGCGCTAGAGGGCCAGACCGACCACGCCGCGGCTCGAGCCCTAACCCTAGACGGCGCTGTTAAGTGCGTCCAGGGTCGCCTGCCCCCGCCGAGCCTTCTAGAGAAGTTCCAGAACCTTCAACACCTCTCGATCGCAAACGTCGGTGTTTCGTCCCTGGAGCAGTTCCCGAGGCTTGAAAATCTCCAGAAGCTCATCCTCTCCGATAACAGAATCGCCGGAGGCCTTGAATTCCTCGTTGAAGCCGGACTCGACTCGTTGAGGGACCTCGACCTCTCGAACAATCGGATTCAGCAGGTCGAAGATCTTGCGCCCCTCGCTCAGCTGAGGCTCGTCTCGCTTGATCTGTATGAGTGTCCGGTCACGCACGTCAAGGATTATCGATCTAGGGTTTTTGGATTGATTAAATCGTTGAAGTATTTGGATAAGATGGACGCGGATGAGAACGAGAGGCCGGAATCTGACGACGAGGAGGAGGAGGAAGAGGACGAGGAGGATGATCCTGGGAGTGGTGAAATCGACGGTGAGGAGCGGCCGTTTGAGATGACCAATGGGCATAGTGAGGCGGTTGAGGGAGTTGTGGATGCTGATGAGGATGAAGAGAGTGATGCGGATGAGGAGGAGACGGTGACTGCAGGCAGAGTGAACGGAACAAATCACCCGGCCGAGAACGGGTTTCGATTTGCTGCGGCTGCGGAAGATGGCGATGAGGATGAGGAGGAGCCCGATGACGATGATGAGAATGATTCTGGTGAGGAAATCGATGAGGATGGTGAGGATGACGATGTGGTGGAAGTTCATGAGATTGAGGATAGTGATGATGAGGAAGATGGGGTTGAGTATGATGAGGATGATGATGACGACGACGACGATGAAGATGACGAGGAAGAGGAGGTGGACAATGATGAAGGGGATTTGGCAGAGCCGGAGAGTACAGGGCGGTTGACGAGCACGGAGGGAGAGATTGATGGGCATGAACAAGGGGAGGATGATGATGCAGATGAAGATGATAACGGAGAGACCGGGGAGGAGGAGCAGTTAGTAGAGGAAGGTGGAGAGTTTGAGGAGGAGGATGGTGATGAGGAGGTGAGCAATCCCTTCAAATAACATTGTTAAATTCTAAATCTTGGTGGTCTGCTTTTATATTTACAATTGGCTATAATTTTATTTGCTTATTGTTTCTGTTAATTTATTGATTTTTCTGGCTGTGTTTAACTGTTTATGGCTGATGTTCTTTTAGATCACAGGAGAGGAGAAAAATGGCTGATGTTCTAATTATGATATGAGCATCTTGTGCATATGGGTTGAAATTGATTTTCTGCATACATCTGTGTGTATTTTTCGATTGGTATTGTCGTTAGTTTTCTTGTAGGTTTACGAAGATGCTTCTTTTGAGTGTCTGCTCCAGTAGTATGAGAGATGTTTGTGCTATTGTGTGCTTTTGTGTGGTGACATGTGGTACATACTACATAGCATGCTGGGAATGTTTCAAACCTATATTTTAGGCTGTTTTGCCTTATTTGTAGGTAATTGTATTTATTTCGGAGTTATGACAACATTATTTTTTAAGGTGTTGTGTTATTTTGTGTTATTGCTACAATATTTTATTTCTTTGGTTAAAAAAACACTATTTTTTACCTTTTCGAATGTGTTGTGTTATACCAGGACTGATGGACTGCGTGTTTTAACGTGTAATTTCTTTGTTTTGAATTTTCCAATTGATTTCATGTTTTTATATCTTGTGGACCATGAAATTGGAGGTGTTTACTATAAATTTTGAAGGCCTTTTTCGGGCATATTTCTGTTGTTTTATTTGAATTTTTGTAAAGTTTATTTATTGACTGCACTTCAATCATGGTTTTGAAGTTGGCAAATAAGTCATTAATAAGGTCTAATATTCTTTTGTTATTGCTGGTGTCCCAGCACCTATATGTGTTGATTTGGCTGTCAATTTTCCTCCTATGTCAGGTTACATGAATTTAAGTATTGTTTTAAAGAGTAGTTATGTTTCTGCTCTTTCGGTTCAGAAGTCTAATATTTGGCATGGATGGTTCTTATCAGTCCTGCCCGCGAATGCTTAAGAAAAGTTGTGTAGTGATTAGTGCTGTTATTTGATTATTGAGTTTGTTGTTTATTTGATGTAGTTTCAGATTTGATTCTGTTATGTAGATTCATATGTATTTGGCCGTCTTTGCTTTGCTTCTTAATTCATCAACTTACAGAAATGTGATTGGATCGCAGGAAGAGGACTGTGGTGCAGGTTACTTGGTTCAACCAGTAGCACAAGCTGAGGAAGAAGATGCTGGCGGCAGTGACATGGACCCTGGAAACGACCAAGGAGATGGTGAAGAGGAAGAGGTGGAAGATGAAGAAGATGAAGTTCAGGTGCTACCGCCCTCCTCATCATCCCAACCTAAGCGCAAGAGAGGCGGAGATGCAGATTCAGATGACAATGGAGAGGACGACGAGGAAGATGACGATGTGGTTGAGTACAGCAAGTCTTCAAAGAAGCATCGTTGACAGAGAGTCGGTAAACAATCTGGTGATGGTATTTCATGCCTTTGTTGATGGGTCCTTTGTTGTCTTAGTTTGGAAAAACAGAGAAAACCTCATATAGAGAGCTTAGATTTAGATTTGGTTGGTTGGTTGGTTGGTTGGTAGTAGAAGACATGGATTTTCCTGAGATGTTGGACAAACAACATATATAAAAGGATGTTTAAAAAGTCGTTGGTGAATCACGTAGCCGTTGCTGGTTGTTATTCAAACGACAGTTATGCGCGGTTTTTGCTTGGGATGGAAGGAGGGAAAGAGCAATTGGAGTTGGAGGGAAAAGAAAAAGACTTGGTTTTTGAATGCGTGTTTGTTTGTCCAACCGGGTTTTTTTTTTAGGGAAAAAAAAATGGGGGGCAACGTAAACACTCTTTGTAGATAGTCCTTTTATTTAATCTTCTTTATATTATGTAGCAGGTGACGTGGAATTATGATTTATGTGAATATTTACCCAGGTGGGAATTTGAGACCTAATGTGTTATAGGTGTCGATATCTGGTGCAAGAGTGCAGCAAAATAAGGTGCACTTGGTTGTATGGGGTATTTTTCACCCAGGTGGGAGTGAGAGTATTAAGTCTATTAAAATGAGCATATTTTATAAAGATAAAAGTTTGTTGGTCATAAGATCCGTCCTAGTGAGCTGAATTTGTAGACGGCTTTACTCAAAAGCTAGCTGCTGAGAAAAGCAGCTTCGCTGCGCAGCAAAGCTCAAGCATTTCATGGTCTGCTCCTACTTTCCAGTTTACAGCGGCTTGCTGAGCCTTGAGAAGGAAGAAAGACATAATTACGAAACATACCCCTAAAATTTGTGGTCTTTTTCAATAAGGGACACGGCCACCTAATTTTCGCATTACTAAAATTATTTTAAACCGTTAAAACAATTCAAACCGCTCGTCTCTACTACTGTCTAAAGCCAATTAAATCACGGAAAATTATATTTCCACACATTATTTGTCCTTATTTACCTTGCAATCTTTCTTTAATCAATGAATTTAACAAATTAAATTAGAATCAAGGGCCAGAATTGAAAATCAAAAGACGTGTTAAAATTATTTTTGTTAGATTAATTCTACAACCGATTGTATTTATCGCTTAATTTATGATTTAACATACTGAAAATATAAGATGATATGCATCTTATAATTACATTAAAGTGAGATATATCAATTATGTCGTTATTTATATTACATGTCGTGTACCAAATTTGTCCAATTTATATTGCAAGTATTGGAGTGTCACTCGGTTGGATAAGGCAATATTTTGATACCGTCTTTCGCCCTCCCATTTTTCATAAATTAGTTCTCTAAAATACACCAAACACCATCTCTCAAAACCTCAAAGGATGTTGCTAATTTGTCCAGCATCCCCCTCACTATTCCCAAACCCACTTCACAATTTCAATGCCAAACACAAAACAACCAGATTCCAACCCCCAGTGAAAATCTCAGCCAAGGCAAAACAAACCAGCGACGACAGCACCACCAGCCTTGCGGAGATAGCAGCCATCGCTGGAGGCTTGGTTTCCACCCCAGTGATTGGCTGGTCCCTCTACACTCTCAAAACAACCGGGTGCGGCCTGCCACCCGGACCGGGAGGTTCAATCGGTGCACTCGAAGGGGTTAGCTATTTGGCCGTCCTGGGAATTGTGGGTTGGTCCTTGTACACCAAAACCAAAACCGGGTCCGGTCTACCCAACGGACCGTTTGGACCGTTGGGTGCTGTTGAAGGTCTGTCTTACTTGTCATTGCTCTCCATTTTGGTGGTGTTTGGGTTGCAGTTTTTTCAGAATGGCTCCATTCCTGGTCCTCTTCCAAGTGATCAGTGCTTTGGTTAATGTGGGATTATTGGCCACTACAATCCTATCTCGTGCTTGTGGACATGGTTGGTCCTCCAATTTGTCATGCTTTTCCATTACTAGGATAATGTATAGGGTATCTGTCTAAAAGAAATGCCATTACAATGTTTTTTTTTTCCGACTTTTTATTGTTCTTTGATATCTTTTATAGCCGTTACAATGTTCCTAACTGACGGGATGGTAAATCACAAGTCATTATACAATATTTTGAATAATATGTAATGTATCATTTCATGTGCTGGGCACACAAGAAAATCTCCCCTAACTCACAATGATATTCTATGATATTCTACTTCTAGCAAGGAAAATTGCATTCAGCTAAACAATGAGCGATTATAATTAGATATAGAATTCAACAACAATGTTGTACATCGTATAAGTTTAATTTAAGACCTTTTATTTATAGATTAAGAAGAAAATCACTAAACATGTTGTAATATCCTCAACTTAAACAGTTAACCTTTTCTTGTTTATTTCAACTGGTTTATTTTTTTGGATTTGCGCAATCTAATCAGCTTGCTGCTTATTTAATAATCACGTGTGCCCAAAACGAATTCTAGAGTGAAGATGGAGGTGACAAGATGGTAGAAACTTATATGTAATTTGGTTTATTAGAGAAATGCTATTACTTAATTACTTATCTTTTAAAGGTTTTCATTTCATGTTGTCAAGAGTAGTCTTATTTGATGTAGTTAAAAATTTGAGTTATTTGAGATGTTATAAAATTAAAAGAAGGAAGTGATGTTCGATGGAGAAAAGTGACTGAAGAATTGAAAATTTCAGGTTAGAAGATTATTTGCTGCTGTCATATCTTGAGAATTGATGTTCTGGACTTTTTGAGTAGCTCGACAAGCAAAAAACAAGGAAGAGTCAATTTTGACAAATCCGTGAAGTTTTAGTCTCGAGACTTGTTTTCCAAAAATTAGGGGTCGATTATCGGTATTTTAAAAACTCTAGACCTTTATGATAAAAATCTTTATTATTCGTTTTCCATGTTTTAGGAAACCTTTGGGAATTAATTGTTTTTTATTTTATTTTTCTTTTGGAGCTAGAGTTTGCTAAGACTTTATAAACAACTTTTAGGTGGTATTGCAACAATTTATTTATATTATTATGAGAATGTTCCCTCAACTTTAATCAAATTAGAGTAATGGTACCTCAACTAAAAATCGATTATCATTGGTCCCTCAATTAAACTTTAATTTTCTCTATTTTTCGGTGGATTTCAAATTGCTAGTAGACTTCAGCTTTTGTTCTAGGATTTGACGATGGTCGATCCTACCTATCACGTTTCTCACCTCGTTAGTTGGTATCGAGCAAGGATTTGCCTCGCTCAATGGTAATTGGTTCTAAGGGATCAAAACTCTAGGCGATGTTCATAAGGGAGTACAAAATATTGAAAGGGAGAATGTTATGAGATTCGTCCGTACCCAATCTCATGAATATGAATTTCAAGATATTGAAGATATTTTTGGAGGAAGTTTGTATGTGACTAATAGATGATATCCAGCGTTACTTTGAGATCATGAAAATTCCAAAAAAGAAATAGTAAAGATTACTTCATCTAGACTATCAAGAAGTACGTCTTCACGGTAAAATCATCTACAGAAAGTTCGAGAAAAACAAGGTAGGTTAAATATCAGAACATGACAAAAGATGAAAAGTGTTTCGCCGAACGGTATTTTCCTTCACATCGCTTTATGTTCAATGATGTTGATGATTGTGCAATTAAAAGTAGACAATTGGCCTTTTGAATTTACTTCAAGAATTTGACATCAAATTGATTATTAAGAGACCAATCTAAAAAAATTCAAAAGCTCTTACAAAAATAATTGACAAGTCGATTGTTGAGCACTTGAAGAAAAAGAAGTTGTTAACCAAAAATTCTTCTATTGTTGAAAAAGATGGTCTTAAAGAAGAAACTCTAAATTTTCACGTGTAGAATCTAAAAAGAAAACGAAACTCAAAAGACCAAAGTGAAAGCGCCTTAGATAATACAAATCTCGAGGTCGAATTCTTCTCAAGTGTAGGAGAATGTGAGAAAAAAGAACAAAATCTCTTATTATCTTCCTCTTATTAAGTCTCATCCTTCCCAAACCTTCACATATGTCCTTTCTAATCCTGGCCGGAATAGAAACATTGTTATATTCCGAACCAAACAACCGCAATTGACTTGACCTTGTAGTCAACCTAGAGTTCAACTTTCACACAAGAATTTTTAATGTAACAAGAATACAAATAGTATATCACGTGTTTTAATAGAAGTAATGGAAAATTTTATTTTTTAAGTTATTAATTTTTTAGCATAAATATTTCATTATTTGTATAATGATGTGTGGTGTATCATCCGTGTACCGGTGACACTGGAAAAACTCTGCTTTACACAGGAGAAAAAGAGGGGCCCAAAACCCAAAGCAAAGTCCAAAACCACGGCACCCGTTTCTTCAGAATCTTCGTCCCGATCGACTTGACGACTCCGATAGGTACGATCCCTCTTCTCCTCTCTATTGGCACTCTGAGTTCTTCGATTTGATCGATTAATTAGTGTTGTTAATCATGATTAACTCTCTGCAAATTTCTACATTAATGTCGTATGCTTTCAGATTTTTTCATGGAAATTACTTAGGGTTCTTAGTCTAGGGTTTCACTTTCTGGGTTTTCTGTGTGTTGATTGTGTTTGAAGGATTTTGGTGTTTTCATTTCTGTTATTGTCTGTTTGGCTGCTCAGAAAATTTAGGGAAAGGGTTTTCTTTTTCATTTTTCAGCTTGTGTATGCTCTCAATTTCTCTTGTTTGTAAATGTGAGAGGAAAACGAAGAGCCGCGCAAGCCTGAGGTGCCTTGAAATTGCAGGGTTTTTATTTTCTTTTGGAAAATTGGAAGATTCTATATTCTGTGTGCAAGTTGATTTTGGAGGGTCGTTAAGATGGGGGAATCTCGTCTTTGATATGCTCTGAGATCCCAAAATTTGCAGTGGCTTTATGTAATTTTAATTCAGAGAATATGCAGAAACTGATAGGGATTGATGGTTGTTGGTAATTAGAGCGAATTGGTCTATTTCACCGGGTTTATGAAATTTATGTGGTACACTATCCTTTGAGGCTTATACTCATAAAAATTTGCATTTGGTATTCTGTATGAAAACATTTGAAATACGAGAGAAAGAGAGATCTGATTTTTTTCTTGGTTGTGTTTGTTTGTCTGTTTAAATGTCTCTTTTGCTTTAGCTTACGTTGGTGAACCTGTAATCTTAACATTTCTTTCTGAGACGTTTGAAGATTGATTGTAGTTGAAGGAGAGGAAGATGAGCGTGATAAATCAAGGAAGGAGAGCAAATAAGTTGGTAGGAAACAAAAACAGTATTTTATACATGGACCTCAAGGACATCATTAGGAACCATGCCCTCCAGTTTCTACCTGCTAAATCACTTTTCAGGTTCACTGGAGTTTGTAGGGACTGGAAGCTCGATATCACAACTCCTTTCTTTGCCCACAAGCAGTCAAATAGCTTTCGTGATATCTCAGGCTTCTTTTTTCAATCCGGAACAGCCCCACCTTCATTCATATCTCTTGACCCCAAGGCGTATGGTGTTCCAGATCCATCTTTGAGCTTCTTGCCTGAGCCGGTTGAGATAAGGAGTTCTTCCAATGGATTACTTTGCTGCCAGGCTCATGATGGCTCTAAGGCTTACTACATTTGCAATCCTGTTACTAGGAAGTGGAAAAAACTTCCCAAGCCAAATGCGGATCACGGATCTAACCCTGCTATTGTTCTCATCTTTGAACCATCTTTGCTCAATTTTGTGGCCGAGTACAAGCTCATATGTGTTTTTCCATCTGTTGATTTTGACAATGGGTATGAGTTTGAGATTTATTCCTCCAGGGATGAGACCTGGAGAGTTTCTGGTGAGATTTACTTTGGCCATCAACATCTCGTGCCAAGAACTGGTGTTCATGTGAACGACATAGTTTATTGGGTATTGGATTATCAGATTCTTGTTTTTGACCTGACGATGGAGCGCGCACAGCAACTTTCTGGCAATTTTTATGGAACTGGAGGAGTTGGGGCCCTGGGTCTGATGGATGGAAAGCTTTGTCTGACAACGCCTAGTCCTACAGGACTAACTGTGAAAGTGTTGGCTAACGCCTACACGAACACTATGGGGATGCACAGCAATGCCAGGGCATGGGAAACCAAACATCAGATCAGTCTTTCACCTCCACCGTTCAGGGCATCGGATTATAACCCTCGAATGACCAGTAATATACTGTTTGCCGGTGGAAATGTGGTTTTGTACCGGAGTGGCGGAAATTTGCACACGTATGACCTGAAGACTAAAGAAACTCAATGTTTGGGTGATGAGCTTGATCAGAATGCGAGGATTGTTTCTCATGTGAATAGTCTTGTGGAGATCTAGCTGGCCTCGCTTGTGGCTTACTCTGCCATTGTGGAACCATGAAGAAAAAGAAGGCATAGGAAGCAAAGTTGAATGGATATATTCATGTGGTTGCCTTGTACTGTTTTTATGTTTAAATAACACTCTTATCTTTGGTGTATCTATCGAATTAAAGGCTCTTTTGATAACTATTTCGTTTAGTTTTTAATATTTGTGAGGTCAAAAATAATGTTGTACAATAAAACTTGCTACTCAAAAGATAAGTAAGAGCTCTTACTCAAAACTCTTCGTTTTCGATTCATAGGACTTCGTGTAATTGTTCATAATATAAATGATTGATCTGTGCGGAGAAAATAAGCAATATGGCCCATGCTTAAATATATGAGAAAATTGTAGCAATGACCTTTCGACCTTAATGGAATTTGAGCAATAGTTTCTCAACTAAAAATTCATGACCATTGGTCTTTTATCTCATCATTAAAACGTGCATTAGAATCATTTTCGTCAACTCTGTAAGAACCTCCATTAAAATGAGGGAAAAAAAAAAAATTGTAGCAATGGTCCCTAAGCATTAACCCAATTAGAACAATAGTTCTTAAATTTTAACCCAATTGGAGATATGATCCCTCAATTTTAACCCACATGTAGCAATGGTCATTTCATCATAACTCATTTCGACAAAAGTTCAGACAAAGTTGAAGAAAATGACTATAGCTGCACATTTGATGAGTT